TCAAACACTAGAACTTTAGGAAATAGAAATGTTAAAGTGGATGCAATGGAGCATATATATGGGCAGTGCTTTTTTTGTAAAAAAAAAAAAAAAAAAGGTGCCGGAACTCACACACATCATACAACCCACCTTGCCTACCCTACAAGGTTTCATCCAAAAAAGGTGCCGGAACCCAGTTCTGGGCGTTTTATGAGAAAAAAAGCCCTGTATATGGGATTGAAAGATTCAACTGAAAGGGAACAGGCCCTACTCCCCCACCTTTTTCTTTCAGTGAAAAGACAATTAAGGAATTTCAATGAATTTTTATCAGATGTCAGTCAAATCCACTTTTCCGGCTCTGAGCCTGTTTTGCATTCTCTTGCAGTTTACTTTTGTTTGTTGCATTTAGTGTGTGTAAGCAATTCCCTTCTAAATGACATAGCCCAGGGGTAGGCAACCTTGGCTCTTTTATGACTCGTGGACTTGAACTCCCAGAATTCCTGAGCCAGCCATGCTGGCTCAGGAATTCTGGGAGTTGAAGTCCACGAGTCATAAAAGAGCCAAGGTTGCCTACCCCTGACATAGCCTGATTCAAAAATATCAAACAAAGTTTTCTTCCCCTGCACGAACTCAGAATAACTCTCAATTTCAGTAGCTTCAGACTAATTCTACATATCATACCTACTTATAATGTAATGTATATGTATACCTAGAATACAGATGTAAGAAAACCACTTATAAAATACCCCAGCAAACTTTATCTTTCTATCAGATGAGAGATAATAGTCTGAATGTAGCTGATCACCCTCTCATAAACCTCTTCAGTTTGTTTACTGGCACCACTCCATAATCTCTTCTGCATTATTAACTTGTCAGGTGGTTTCTTATCAGTGTGTCCTCTTCCAAACGATTAAACATTCTGTGAACTTCCCCCTTACTCAGAAACAGAGAAGCCATCAGCATGTTCAACTGTTTAATCCGGTTAGGATGTCTAATCACTATCTCTAAATCAGGGGTGTCAAACTCAATTTCATTGAGGGCCACATCAGCATTATGGTTGTCCTCAAAGGGTCAGTTGCTGTCCCTTTCTCTCCCTCAGGCTTGCCCCACTGACATCTCTCCTCCCTATCGCCTTCTCTCCTCCCTCACTCCTCCTCCTTCCCACCAAAACCTCTCATTTTATATCCTCTCTTCTCCCATGAGTTCACTCACTACCTGCTGGCCTTTTCACACAGCTCATCAGCTGGAGCTGTGTGCACTGATTCTGGGGTCTCTGCCAAGCCCCGGCAGCCCCACAGCTCCAGCTGACCCCGAAGACCCGAGGCTACCAGAAGCCCCGATCAGCTGGAGCCGTGCATGCTGATCCTGAGGCTTAAGCAGAGCCCCAGCAACACCGCAGCTCCAGCTGACTCTACCCCAGGCATCTCTGGTGCTGCCGCCGCCTCAGCTCACCCCCTCCCATTACTCAATCATATCCTTCTACTAGTCTGCTTGCGGGCCAGATCTAAATACATCACTGGCCGGATCTGGCCTGCAGGCCTTGAGTTTGACATGTCTGCTCTAGATCATTTAAATCAGCAGGCTTTGTTCAAATGGCTTCAATGTAGCTATTTGAATACTGTTAACTGTCCACTATCACCTTCATGACCAAGCTTTTCCTTCCCAGAATTCTCTCTGATGTAAAGGCTTCTCTGCCAACTCTGCTGTCTTCCAAACACTTGTGAGCAGCGGGTATAGCAAATGGTTTACTCATTCGCTATATATGATTAATTATTTGGGTAAAACCATATATAACAGGCAGTGTCCAAATTCTTTATCCTATTAAACCAAATTAAATATAGTAACTTTTATTGAAAAAAATGTTAAAACGCATTTTTTTCTACTAAAAACCTAGCATACACAAATAAAACATCGTGAAACTACTATTTTAGGCCAGAAACCACTAGCTAGGAAATATTAGCCATATATTAGGGGGGGGGAATAAAGATCAGAAGTAAATCTGTACTTTTCCACTGGCTCAAAGTATTTGATCAGCTGCTTTGTAATTCCCAATGCATCTGATATGTGCAGTTGCTTGGTAACTTGTGAAGTGTACTGCACATATATTACGTACACACACAGAAACAATTATTAGATGATAATGATCAGATACTGAAATTATTCACCAAGTATTTATTAGAAGTTCCATTGCATTTAGTTTCCTTAGTTTTTATTATCATTTCTCACCTTTTAGGGTGGAATGAAAATTTAAATCTTATCATTGTAATTTTAATATATGTGCATATTTTATGAGGTCCTTACTTAAAAAAAAACAAGAAAAATGTAATAAATTTTGCAGAACTGAAATCAAAGTTGATAATTAGTTGCCAATTACTTATTCGATGATTTGGGGAAATAATTATTTTTAACATATTCTTAAGAATCTTTACTTAAATGTCTGCTTGAAATCATATTCAACTGAAACCAATGAGATTTACTCCCAAACAACTACAGCCACTACTATGCCAGTTCTTTGATTAAAACATGCTGTTTTGCTAGTTCTCTTTCTAAAATATACCGATTTAGTTGTCTATCTGGGCTAATTTCAACATAGCCACTTGAAAAATTAATTTAGCAAACATAGGAACCATAGCAAAAAAATATGTGATCATATACTAATATGCAACTCTGATATTTAATATAAAATCTAGAAGATAGAATTTTCCTACTAAAATATGACTGTTTACTGCATGTCTTTTACATATTGCCCTAATTCAATAAAAATACTATCAGTTTGTGTTTTCCAATTTGCACAATTTTTTTTCATGTGAGACTTACCAAGACTTTATTTGCATAATGAAAGTGAAGAAAGCATAAAAGGAAGAATAGAACAAGTATCAACAATATTACTTTCATAATGTAACTTGTTTCACAGAATGTTTCACATAGGATTTAAAACATGTTTTCATTTTTACAAGATAAAAACTGCTATTTCCATTCCATATTTATTCCCCATCCAAGCTATTTTTTGCATTTACAATTACTGCTTTAAATAAAGGAGCCTCCCTCTAGTGGGCACTTAGAATTATAGAAAACCAATATATCAGCTACAGTTGAATCAGAAAATAAATTTCATACACAGGAAGTCCTTGTTTAACAACCAGAATTGGCACCAACAACTTGATTTATAATCTTACTTCAGTCTTCCTTACAGACTGTTGTAATTGTGAACAGTGCTAAATGAGTCACTAAATGAAGATTTACTTTACATTTAATACTAATCCATATATCACATTAACACTTGAAACATTATTTAAATACTGTAGTGAAGTTCATGTATTTTATTAAACTAATTCCAAATTACACTGCAGTTTAGTCTGATATATAAACCCAGCCAATGTATATTAAATTACACTTCTCTCTTCCAATATGTCACATTCTACCTGTGACATAAATTGGTTTGAAAAGTTCCTAGAAAGGAAAAACATAAAAAAAATCTCCTTGCATTGATGAAAGTTTTCTCGCATTATTTTGGATCCAAGCAGTTATTAAAACAAGGATTTGTATTGTATTTTAATCTTTTGCCCCTCAAAACAGGGTGCCATTTCAGAATAGTCTAACTTATAAAAACTATAACAAGTATAAATTATTTATTTCCTGAAAGTAGCTTTTTCCTCACAATACAGTTAAGACATTTTCCATTATAGATGGTAAGGTAAATATACCAGAGTCTGACAATATATATGAACTAATTCTTCCAAAAAATTATCCAATAAATTGCTGCTTAGCTGTTAACTGAGCTTAGAGTAGTACCGCTGTTGTGGAGAAGATGAAGCATAGTAAGAGGAATTCCCATGAACATGTGACATCCTCCCCAGGAACATAAGATTTCCTATAGCTTAACAAACAGATACTGTTTAGAGTTGCAGGATACTAACTTTTACAAAAAAAATTAAAATAATACCCTCGGACCATGGCCCACTACTGGGCCACAGAACCAGCGGGTGGGTGAGTGCGCATGCGTGAAGTTCCATTTGTGCAATGGAGCTGCGAGTGCCATTTGTATGGAACTATCCCCTCTCTCCCCCTGCTGATCCACAAAGCCCAGAAAGGCTGGGTAACGCTGCTTTAGAGTATGTAAGGGTGCTTAAAAGCTTCTATCAGCAACTCCTTAAAGCAGCTGCATCTTTTCCCAGGATCATGCAGATACAGCACATTCTCTGGAAAATGTTTGGATCTAAAGAATTCCTAATCAACAATCTGTACATGCCCCGTGTACTGCAAAATAATATTTTCTTTTGAAATTTGAAAGGCTGAATATCCCTATTACATTCTTTTTTTTAACTGAAGCAAGTGCTATAGATCTTACTTAACAACTCCCATCAGTAGCGATTTAAAGTTATGATGGTACTGAAAAACTACATTTATGACAAGTCCTTCTACTCACGACCATCAGTGTCCACAGTCATCTGATTACCATTTGAATGCTTCACAACCAGCACCCAACAAGTCAATGGAGAAACTGGCCATAAAAATGCACATGATGCTTTGCTTAGCAACCCACAACTTAACAATCAACTTGGAAGCAATGTGTTAAAGTCACATGTTACTTAGCAATCCCATCATTTAAAAACAGAGTTGCCAGTCCCAACTACGGTTGCTAAGTGAGGATTACCTGATCAGTCTTCTAGAGTAGGGTCCTACACCAACATATCTCTCTTTCATTTGTTATTTCCTCAAATAACCACTTTAGCTGTCATTCAAGGAGGAAACAGCTACATCTTTTGGGTACAAAAATTAATTGAAGGGAAACCCATAAGAGAAATAACCCCTTCCCCATCCCACATAGGCTTTTGGAATCATGGTTTTATTATTTTATGTATTTAATGGTATTATTTCTGTTGTTTAAAATACTAACTAGCCCTCTTCCCCTCACCCCACAAAATTCCCTTTTCACAACCTGTAATCCCTTAATTTGGGGTAGACGTGCTCAAAATAACTGCATCTACTTGACTCCATGCTCTTACATAGACCACATACCAGTCAGCATAAAAAAAACATTTTATTTTTTTGCCCTTAACAACAAACTAATTTTGTTTTTACAACAAAGTCACGATTTTAATGTAAAAAAACCATTATTAAAGATGCTGCATCCTTGAAAAGGAAGCTATGTTATATTTAAATATCACTATGAAATATAAGAACAGAAATTTAACAAATTTCAGAACATATTCTAAGAATATGTTTCAACACAAAATATGCAACAAAACTTTTTCCAATGATGTCAAATGAATATTCATACTTCTGGTCCTTCTCCTCCAGGAACCAACTGTTTGGAGAAAAAAGAAAGGGGTGAGTGAAAGAGAAAAAGTTAAAATAAACAGGTATTTACTTCTCTAACAGTTGTGAACCAGTTATCTCATTGGCCTGCCAACATTATGGTTACCTAGTGCTCTCTCTTCTTATAGTCATTACTTTGGTCACTTTAGAGGTAGCCCTTGACTTATGACCCAAATGGGAGTCTGCCCATTACAGTTACAAGCGGTAATGGCTGTTAAGGGAGATGGCCTCTCCTAACAACCCCCACTCCTTGCTCTCTCCAATGCAGCTGTTAAATGAATGCATGGGTTATTAAGCAGAACACAAAGTACCTCAGGTATAGGGGAGGTCCTGGAAGTTCTAGCACATGCCAAAGCCCACCAGCCCTGGGCCTTCCAAGCCTCTCCCACTACTTGAGGCACCCTGTGCATTGCTTCCTGCCCTTCAGGTTCCTTGGAGATCATGGCCTGCTTCCCAGTCAGCCATTCAGTCACTCAAGAGAGCCTAAAGCCATGCAGCAAAAGCTACTGGCACAGAGGAGCTGTTACGTTGGCCAGCTTCCCAATCAGCCATCCAGGGACTTGCAAGACTCAGCCAATTCCAAAGAGGCAGTGGATGCAATCAGAGGCTCAACTTTCCTACAGATGCTGCCTCATGGCAACCACATGCTATTCTGCAAGCACATACTATTTTACTGGTCCTATAGGGTGCTCGGTTTTTTAAGGAGGTTCTAGGCTACCTTTCTGTAGGAAAGCTAAACCTTGAATCATATTGGTTGGATACTTGTCTGCAAAAAACAGAAAGGTAAGTTGGATACTGTGGGGCACTGGAGTAGGCCAAGTCCTGCAAGTCCCAGGATGACTGAGCTAGATGAGGCCTAGAAGCTGTAACAGCCCCCCATGCATTGGTAGCTTTTGCTACCCCTCATTAGGCTAAGTGGGAAGCAGGCTAAAGACTAGAAACTGTAACAATCCCTGCATGCTGGTAACTTCTGCTGCCTAGCTTTAGGCTCCCTTGAGTGGCTGAGTGGGAACAAGGCCTCAACTTACAAGTTGTAACAGCCCCACATGCACAGATACCTTCTGTTACTGACTTTAAGGTCCCTTGGATGGCTGGATTGGGAACAGGTTAAAGGCCTGTGAAGACCCAGTGGAAGTGGAGGGACATGGAAAGTGCTGCAGCCTCCCTACGGTTGAGAATAAGGGCAAAGACCCATAGGGGCACTGCAGCAGTGTAACTTTGAAATTGGGTTGTAGTTTTCCGAAGATTTATCATAACTTCAAATAGTCACTAAGTGACTGGTCATACGTTGAGGACTATCTGTACTCTATTTTCTGTACTCTATTTGCATTAATTTTCTGAGTGTGTTACCTCAACATTCTTTGGAAAAATAAAAAATATATAAGCAAATGGATTACATCAGATTAGGTGTTAATTCTTTCATTTATAAGCTTTGATAATTAAGCCATAATATAGTAGCCCAAAACCTAGTGAAAATTTTCAAGATATTCCGTGTGAGACAAAGCTTGTTGCATCAATATACCCTAATAATAATCTTTCCAAATGTTGTTCGTGACAATAAAAACGCCAGTCTTCCATGGGCAGTTTGAGCTGATTAGTAAGAATTTAAGGAAGAAACTACAGAACACAAATTATTTACCATAGTTATATTGTTTCCGTTCAGCAAAATCTGATCTAGCTTTGTGATTCTTCTTCCTTCAGGTGTGATTTCACTGTTGAGCATGATTAAAACAAAGAATATGTTAACAAAAAAAGGAAACTATTAAGATTCTTTTATTAAGACATGCTTCTTTCTTAGTGGCTTAGACCTAGACACTGTAATCCAGGGATGTCATACTGAATTTCATTGACGGTTGCTCTCAAAGGGCCAATTGCTGTCCCCATTTCTCCCTCAGGTTTGCCCCACTGATATCTCTCCTCTCCTCCCAATCACCTTCTCTCCCCCTCCTCACTGCTCCTTCCCGCCAAAACCACTCCTTTTATATCCTCTCCTCTCTTCTTCCACGCGTTCACTCACTGCCCCGCTGGCCTTTTCATCAGCTGGAGCTGCATGCGCTGATTCTGGTGTCCCCGTCAAGCCCCACAGCTCCAGCTGACTCTTCCCCTGAATACTGCATGCGGCTGTTGGACACTCCCGAGGCCACTGGAAGCACCGATCAGCTGGAGCCACATGCCAATCCCGAGGCCTCAGCAGAACCCCAGCAACACTGCAGCTCCAGCTGACTCTCCCCAGGCCTCTCTGGCACTGCCGCTGCTTCAGCTCACCCCCCACTACATACTCAATCACCTCCTCCTACTAATCTGCTTATGGGCCAGATCTAAACACATCAAAGGCCAGATCTGGCCCGCAGGCCTTGAGTTTGACATGTCTGTTGTAGTCTGTAAAGCAATGTTTATGGTTTGGCAAATTATTAGCAGGTAATTTAACATATTTTATTTTCTATACTTGATAAAAAAGTTTGGCTTTACACAATATGCAATGCAATGATCTTGCTTTCATTTTCTCAGAACAATGTGGGAAGCAATCCTCTGAAACTGTCCCAAAAGCAGTAATAAGATAAAACAAATAGGCCTATTGGAAGCATTAGTGGTACACTTCCCTTTTTAACAAATACTACTACTGTGTTTTCCCGAAAATAAGACCTGGTCTTATACTCAGTAACCTATCTATCTATCATATATGTTAAAAGTGATCTCTATTTTCTACAGCCATTCTAACATTTTGAAGAATATATGCAGCATATACAGTATGCTAATCTAGCAGGAGCTAAATGTCATTAATATAACACCTTCAACTGCAACTCTCAGATAGAAGTGGAAAGAAAACCTCTTGATTTTTTATAATTTTAGTTCAACTATTGGTTTGCTTAAATCAGTATCTCAAAATGTCATTTAACGCAAAAGGGATATCCCTATCTTAAGTTGCAATACCACATAAATCTTTGACCCTCTAATAATTTTTATGCCAATAATTCTCTAAAAGGTCTACATCATTCAACAGGAAATCCATTCAGCCTTGATAGATTATCTACCCCCAATTTCATTGCCTACAATGTCTTTGTACTCTCTTGTAATGTTGATGTTGTCTCAATATTTATGTTCTTGAGAAATCTCTTTGACTAAAATGCTTCTTTCCTCAAGATCAGATTTTCAGAATTAAAAAAATTGCACTGTAATAAGCATATTGAGAAGGACAGAATAGAATGTAGTTGGTAAATATACATGCAATTTTTTAAATGCAGAAACTAAAACAAAATATTATGCACTACTTTTTAAAATATGTATGAAAACATAATTAGAACATGCTATTCAAAATAATTCTCAGCCAATACTGAAAGCTTATTAGCTTATGTTTTGTATCAGAGAAATCAAAATCTACTATATTAGAGAAATAAAAGGGCAACTTTAGAAAAGGGCCAAAAGCAGACAATTGTTGGTCCAAACAAACAAACAAACAAACAAACAAACAAACAAACACATAATCTGTTGAGGTTGTTAGCCACAGAAGCAATACTTACAATTCAGTGACATCTTCTAATACCATGTCTGGAATTTGTTGTTAAGAAAAATATAATAAGTCACCACAAAAGTATTAACTTTTCTTGTATTCACAAAATAAATTCTAACAAAATTAAAATTGTTTTTATAATATCAAAAATGTTAACTTAATTTGCATGCCTAGACAGCCTAACAACTGCTCAGTATATACAGCATTCAGTCACGGCCTTGAAAGGTATCTTTGATATATTCTATATATTCTGTCAACATTATAGATATTCCTGGACTTACGACCGTTCATTCAGCACCCATTCAAAATTATGATGGTGCTGATGAAGGAACCTACTACCTCTGTCTAAAGTTCTAACAGCTGCAGTGCCCCCACTCTCATGACGTGGAAACACTGCACCTCCTCCTTCCCCATTACAGGTCAGCATGCCTTACCTGGTTGGTTTATTGATGTGCATAAACCTGCTGCAAGCCACAAATCCTTGGCCAGATAGATCCATTGTTGCATGGGCCTCTGCCTTCCCCTCTCCCGACTCCCGGGAGGACTGAGCCTTCGCTCTGCCTCACCACACCTGGGTTACTTACTGTCCTGCAGCTGCTGACAGACACACCCAGCCAATTCAAAGCACAGCTAGAAAGCTCACAGCTGGCTAGAAACAGGAACTTTGCTGGCTGACTTTCTGTTTGTGGCCAGCCTTGAGAAACATTGCCTTTCTTGAGGAAGACTGGCTTTGCCAGCTTTCTAGCTGAGTCCTGCATTGTCAGCAGCTACAGAAGAGAAAGATAAGTGAATCTGGAAGTGGTGGGGCAGGGAGAAGAAATCTTAGGAGTGGTGGGGGATGAGAAGGAGGAAGCCATGAACCAGTGGGCCTAGCTAGTTTAGTCCTCCCAACTCATGACAGGTTTCCGTGTGCTGGTAGTTTACAGACCTCCCCCATCCTTTAAGGCACCCATCAAATTTTTAGTTAAATGACTGCAATGAACTGGCATTGTGGTTATTGAGCTAGGTGATTATGTAGGTAATCGTGGACTTAAGTTGAGGACTGCTTGCATACAGAGCTTCTGAATCATACATAAGAACTTCTTAGAAAATCTACATACTCACAGTTACAGATATTTGCAGATTGTTATTTTATCTTAACTTACAAAAACTCTTTTCTAGAGAAACAGTTGAAAAAAATAATTTAAAAAAGTAGAGAAAAGCTTCCAAATAGTTATAGAAAGGATACTGACAAAATCATCAAATCCTAGGAGCGTGCCAACGATTTCTTTATCACTTTTCATAACAATGTGAATACGAGAGCCTATACACTTGTCCACCAATTCTGTTGCATAGAAAAACAGCAGGTGTTAATATTTAAAAAAAAATCTCCCAAATAGTTTAAATTCAAAACACTCCATTTAAAACTTCTAGATCTTGCTACATCATATTTTAATGTAAATGCTATTATTATATCTTATACCTTGATGTATTTTCTGATTGGGAAAGAATGGATTTAAAACAAAAAAAATATCAAAGGTTTCATTTTTTAAATTATACACATTTTTGTATAATAGTCACAAATTACAGTAAAAATGATAGCACAATGAAATGGATTACAGTGTAGTATGGTAAGATCCGAAGTACTCTCCACTTGACCATACAGCTCAAAGATATAATTACCCACTTAGCCCAGCCTATTTCCTGTGATTGCTACAATAGGGAAAAAAATGCAACCCACAACATAGATTGGTTTGAGTTCTCAAAAATAGAAGAAGACTATACATTCAAAATTAATTAAATAAGAATGAACTTCATGGGGATACTAAGCATTCTCAATTGAGCAATTACACGTACAGCAAACTAATAGTGATATATGAAACTGCACATAACTACTTCTTTCCTTTATCTATGATTTGCATTGTAACAAGACTGCAACAAAACCATTTACAACTATGTAATGAAGGCTACTGCGGTTCATTTGGGGTACTGCGGTTCAAATGAATTAATCTTTTCCTTCATGTATGTGTCTGTGTGGGTAAGCGTATATAAACAGAGTGGGGAAGGGAGTCAGAATGACAAAGGAGTCAAGGATAGGCTTATAATCTAGGAACCTACCCATTCAGCATGCTTCCATTAACAAGAAAGAGATTTCCCACTTTAGTCTTGGAAAAGAATGAGAGCAGCCAACTTATAAACCCTTATACCATATACACCCCTTTCTATCCATGACCATGAACTCACTTCTTTCCTTCTCTATCATTCCTCTACTCAGAAGCCATTATACGAGGGCAATTCTGAAATAAACCTCCTTTTGGTTATCAATGACACACTCATAGATACAGAACTTTTATTATACACATTAGAAAATTACAACATTACATTACTTTTCGACGTAATCGCCATTCAAATTGAGGCACTTGTCAGGTCTTACAAGTTTTGAAATTCCTTAGTAGTAATCGCTTGGCGCCAAATCTGGGCTATGGGGGAGGGTGATCAAAAACAACCCAACAGAGCTCCTTCAAAAGTTCTTGGGTGCATCTAGCGGGCGAGCATTATCGTGAACGAACACCACACCGGAAGTCAGCATGCCGACACTTGTTATGGATGTTTGTCTGAGTTTTCATAAGCTATTACAGTAGACTTCTCAACTGATGGTCGAACCACACTCCATGAACTTCACTAGCAGTACTCCTTTGACATCTTCACATTTGGCGGGATTTTCTATGGCACCACTTCCAGTGTGGTGTTGGTTCATGATAATGCTCACCCGCTAGACACACTCAAGAACTTTTGAAGCAATTACGTTGGGATGTTTTTGATCACCCCCTCCATAGTCCAGACTTGGAACCGAGCAACTACTATTAAGGAATTTCAAACCTTGTAAGACATTATGACAAGTGCCTCAATTTGAATGGTAATTATGACAAAAAGTAATGTAATGTTGTAGTTTTCTAATGTGTATAATAAAAGTTCTGTATCTGCGAATGTTTGTCATTGATAACCAAATGGAGGTTTATTTCTGAATTGCCCTTGTATATTGAAGCAGTGCATTTATAGTGTTTTACTCTTTGTTTCCCTTTTGAGAAAAGCAAAAGTTGCAAAATGCTGGCTATCAAAAAACCAGAGTTTCAGGCATCAGCTACCTAGAACCTCAGTTGCACTGTTTTTTCCAATAGAAAAAGACAAAGGATTGCCAAAAATGATTCACAGGAAAAATGTCCTTCAAAATTTTCGAGGCAGTTTAATGTGGGTCCCTTTTAGGAGCTAGATTAATCAAGACAGTACAATTTCAGAATGGAGTTGTGACATTAGTCCTAACCAATCCAGCTTCCTGTCCCAATTCCTGATTTAGAATGGTACACTATAACAGTCTATTTTCCTTACCCACCCTACTGATCTTAAAATCTACTCAGGCACAACATAATGTTAAACTACTGTATTCCATTAAACCGAACAACACAATTATCACTCTTGCTTCAATTATTCTTTCAAATCTTGTCTTCCTCACAGAAGTCATGTTATAAGTAGTCAACTTACAACAATAACCACAAAAATTATGTTGCTAAGTGAGACTGAGTTTTGTCCCATTTTACCTTTCTTGCCATAGTTGTTAAGTGAATCATTGCAATTGTTAGCAACACAGTTGTTAAGTGAGTCTGGGTTCCCCATTGACTTTGCTTATTAAAAGGTTGCAAGATGATCACTTGATCTCAGAATACTGCAACTGTCATAAATATGTCAGTTGTCAAGCATCTGAATTTTGATCATGTGACCATGGGGATGCTGCAACAGTTATGTGTGAAAAATAGTCATAAGTCACTTTTTTCAGTGATGTTGTAATTTTGAACAGTCACTAAATGAACTGTTGTAAGTCGAGGACTACCTGTACTGAATATCAAGAGATTTTGCAAATTTTGTCTGACATCCTATATAAGCAGCTTACTGAGAACGAACAAAGTTATAACTTCAAGCACAAGTTTAGGAATAATAGTAAATTAAACTTGTATCCCATCCAATTGGATGCTTTTTATTATATTTTACAATACTTTATTGTATACGTTTATAATATAAAATGTAGTATCTTATATTTGTAAATTGCTCCCTGCTTTCAAAACTTTATACTGTACCTATAGGGTGAAAAGCAATTAACTGTCACCTATAATAGATACTGTCCTCTCATGCTAGCAGTGTTTCTCAACCTTGACAATTTTAAGGCATGTGGACTTAAATTCCCAGAATTCCACTGCCAGCAATGCTGGCTGTGGAATTCTGGGAGTTGAAGTCCACATGCCTTAAAATTGTCAAGGTTGAGAAACACTGTGCTAGAGACTCTTGAGCCTCATCTGTCTCAAACCTTAGAATGAAAATAGAATGGGAGAAAGATTTTTATCTGTGCAGTTTTGCACTTTCCTTTCACTGATAGATCATCCCATTATACCAGCTGTCTGACATAATCTACATATTTCCCTTTGTTCTACCACTTGCTTAGCAACAACTTGTTTCAGCAGAGTTCCCCAACTTGGAGACCTCCTGACGCGTTACTGCGACAACAGTCAACATTAGGCCCATTGGCGGGAGATACGGAAGGCTGGATCCAATTAAGAGGATCTACGCCCTTGAAAAGCAGAGCTCCTCTGCTTTCGATCCCGCATCACAGGCTGGATTTTTTTCTACACCCTGTGCCATTTGCAAACGATACTCCGGCAACCCCACTCAAGCCTTCCGATTTTCGCGCCGTGCCACGCTACACGCTACACGCGAGCATGGCTTTCATTACCAAGCGGCAAAAGCTGGGACGGGTTGGTAGTCGCGTTGGCCGCCATTCTTCTAGAAGATCTAGCGAATCAAATCCGCTTTCAGTTATTGGCGTTGCTGCGAGGCTATTGGCCGGAACCGCGAAGCGGGAGACAGCGAAGCAGACACTAAAAGTCGAGAAGGAATAATCGAACTTCCAGAACGCGGGAAAGATACAGGAATCCTCGCGAGAAGCTGTTTGACCGGCTATCAATGTCCATTGCATAAATAAAATATACCGGGCTTTAAACATGGCTGAAACTTACATCGCGGGAAATAATAATAGAGGGTTTACATATTGAGTTAAATTAGACGAGCGCCCAGCACGCTACTTGCGTGCTGTCGGTATACTCGAGCAGTGATAGACAATGGCTACTGATCCAAATCTAAAAGTTATGGGGGAGGGAGGGGAAATCTGGCAAGTACGTTTACATTATAGACCACGCTGTAGACGTGTAATTTCGAGTCATATTCTAATGCGAAGAATAGTGACTACTGCTCGCTAGTTGTAGTTAATGTAGTCGGCAGCCAACGTCAACTAGAATGTCATTCTATGTAAATTTTGGCTTAAAAAGAAGTTTTGCGGAGTTAAGACTATTTTGCAGTTTTTTTCAAAAATGGGAAATATTTGCCCTAAAGGAATTGTTAATATGCCCAAGTTCAACCACTGTGCCATTCTGGCATCTTCTTTTTGAAACATTTGCATCATTCTGCCTAATCTATTTCTACCTCACATGAGTTTTTTAAAGCTTTTTTTCCCCCCTTTTTTCCTGGCGACGCTCTCTTTTTATTTGTCACTTAAATTGTATGACTGTACCGGTATTTGAAAGACAATTGTTTTTTGATTTCAGAACAGAAATGCTGTAAAGAAAAATGCTGAAAATGTTTGCAGTTTTTTGTTACAAAAATAGTCTAATTAACTCTCAGATTTAATAAGAGCAGAATAAATTTGTTCCACCTATCAGATTTTGTTCTTTCATATAATAATAATTGTGCTTATTTTTCATCTGACAAATACCAAATATTCCAGCTCCATCATTTTGCCTTATGAGAAGCAAGAGGAAAAGACTCTGTATTAAAGGAAACAAATGAAAAAGTATTCGTATTCAATTCTCTCTTAACACCCTAGCAAATTTAAGGAGCAGCAAACAGTCCTCTAAAAGATTTGTCCCAAAATAATTTCTCTCAAGTTACAGCCACTAATTCCAAGTTCCCATCTTCAAAACTATTTTTAGAGTTGCTCTTATCTGTATAAATGAAATAACTTAATCATTTTCAACAGCAATCCTTCCTAATTTTCAACAGAAACAAAGAAATGCTGAAATAAAGAACTCAGGAAATACTGACTCAATAAAAAAATATAGTTGTTGCTCCTGCATCAATGCACAGAACAATGGATTTTCACAAGTAGTGCAAATGAATTTAAGAGATTAATGGAATTTATATTAGTCATCATCTGATGTAGCCTGAATTATGATTCATTCCCAAAACATTAAAGCCTTCAATGAAGTCATATATATCTAAATGGTATAGACATAAATATCCTAATATATGGAAGAATTCTTTTACAGACAAGACAATATTTCTTAAAACAGCTACCTTATACATTTCTATGTCCAGTAATGTATATATTTATTAAGAATATTTTCTTTCCATGGCTCAATTACACACTGCAAATTTACCAGTCATATTTTAGCCTAAAATAGTGAACAAATCCAGCTTGTAAGAATAGTTTATGGTTCAGAGTTTTAACAAAGAAATTTGGTTCACTAAAGAAATCATAGTTGAATTAACCATAAGCAAGCACATTAAGTTGGCCAACTCCTAGCAACCACATAGATTTTCTCAGACTAACCAATATTTTTATATATAAATAATCTTGGTTACTACTATTCAGTATTTATGTGCTATTCACAGTTGTTTTCTTAAAGGCTAGCAGCATTTTTTCATTTATTTAAAATTGGAGCAATATTTATGTATTAAATTTCTATACCATCCAACTCCCCTACAAGGTGACTCAGCAGTTGTGGAAACTAGTGAAATATAAACAAATAATTGAGTAATCCTAATCATATTATGTTACTGATAAATATTGAAAGTATATAGCAATCTGTTTGTCCTAAGATTGGCTTCTGATACAATATGGTTTGATACTATTTTTAAACAGATAGTTTAGACTAAGCCTGCACCTTTTTCAAGTAACTTTTGTTGTAGTTTTTTTTTACTTAAATACGTACTATGATTACTAATAAATTATTTGCTTACTTTTTAATAATTGATGTAAGACTATTTGATAATATACCGGATTATTTTCCTAATTATATAATATTTAAGCTAGTTGTCGGTATTTCATTCATATTATTAGACTGAAATCTAAGCTACATTGGGAAATCTAAGCAGACATCCTATTACAATATAGCACTGTCAATGTGAACGAATGCACACTGTTGAATCTTACAAGGTGTCCTATTCAGGGTAGAATGGCCAGTTAATTTCTGCTTCTTTAAGAACAAAGCACTGCTCGATGGTTGCCAAGAGGAACCAACCTGAGGTAACAGGGTAAAGAAATTCCTTTCTGTAATAACTTCTTTTTTCAGGGAGTCATTATATTCCTATAGTCAAGGCTCATTCTAGCGCGTCTATATCCCAAAATAACCCACCCCTCTGGAATTAATCCTTGTAGCTTAAGCCCTTCTTTTGAATATCTCCCCGCCCGCTTGAGAGTTATTTTTCACCCTCTAGTCTAGTCCATGAAAGTCTACCCGAGCGGTCCACCGCCCGTTCCTTCTTCGTCTTCTGTTGCTACCCGAGACCAGTCCGGATGAGTTGAGAAGCGACGCTACTTCCACAGGCGCTACTGAGCGTGCTCGGAATCCGGGAGCATGCTCAGTGATAGCCAAACTGCAACTTCTGACGAGCGACGAGTTTCACGCTGTCGGCAAGAGGAAGCGCTCCTGGCCCCGCAGTAAACGGCCTCCTGCCGCAGGGGCGGCCACGGTATGGGCTCCCCGATGGAGCGAAGGGCCAAAGGGAATCTCGATCTCTATCCTCCAACTGGCGGCTGCCCTAGGGGTCCAGTGCTACACATCGTGGTGGTCGGCTTCCATCACAAGAAGGGCTGCCAGGTGAGCGGCTGCCAGCTCGACTGGCTTCCTTGACTGACCCTCTCGCTCTTTCGTGCTTCTTCCGCTTGTATTACATCTCTTCTAGTGCCCGGACATCCCAGTTTTCCTGTCACTCATCTTCTAAGTATAGAAATCTTTTCATTTATTTCCATTTGCCCAGCCTTTCTAAAGCTAAACCCTAACCCTAACCCTTTCGATGACTGAGACTGCAATTCCCGTTAGTGCCAACCACTATGCTAATAGTGGTTATTCAGAATTATAGTATTAAGCATTATGGAGTGTTCTTTACTGTTAAACAACCCATCTTCCTATTTCTGTATTACTGTACGCATATTATATGACGGCGTATCATCAAAAAATTGCATATGCACATTTCTCTAAATGTGAGAGCAAATCTGTATGTGTGTACACAACTATATAGCTTCACTGTAGAAATATATAATTTACTTATTCAGAGGGCCAAATACGGTGAGGCTTCAGGTCACTTAGTATTTATATTCTACTTTTATCCTTACAGAACATCTATTCCATGCAAATCCAACTGTATGGGGAAAGATACCTAGATTGTGATCTTAATTTGTAAATATTCTTAGTAAGAAGTCGAATGGAATGGAACTTAATTATATGTATTATACTGAAATGACACAAAATCTAAAGGTACAAACTTGTCAGAATGGCATTAAATAAGTTTATGTTGCCTTTATATACTGTACAGTTATGTCAGGGCATTTTTATGAGAAAAGGTATAAAATAAAGGGCTATTATTCCACATGAACTACAAAAAAAGCATATATAATTTAGTGACTGAGGATCTCCTGTTACTGAAATTATTAGCTTTGTTTGATTAAATCAATTGTATAAATAATCCAACAGTCTAAAAACCCACTGTAGGGCAAATTCTGATACTGCTACTTGAAGAAGAAATCGTATTCTGTAGGTTAGAATATACAATAATTGAAGAATAAGTGCAGGAATATGATACCCAAGCAGTTATTCTGACAAATGTATTACTTTGAGGGGTGCTATGATGCTATTCCCACTGTAGAAACATATTCTTTTCTTTGGAAATTCTCTTTTATGAATACATCTACTAACATCAGTATCTTACAAGTACTATTTGGTTTTCTTTTGTTTTTACATAGTTTTAATTAAAATATTTTAATAAAACTTTAGCATGATGCAGAGATAGCATTCCTCTAAGGTTCATCTTTATTTGTAGAACATAAAAATAGGTGACTTCAGTCAAGTTTTTTTGTTTCAAAATGTGCCTATAAAAGAAGAATTAGATACAGGTAGTCTTTGACTTACAACAGTTCATTTAGTGACTGCTCAAAATTACAACAGCACTGAAAAAAGTGGCATATGACTTTTTCACACTTACGACCATTGCTGCTTCCCTATGGTCACGTGATCAAAATTCAGACTTTTTTTGAGACCTGACAAGAAAAATCTATGGGGAAGCCAGATTCACTTAACAAGCTAACTTACTAACTTAATCAGTTCAGTGATTCCTTAAACAACTGTGCCAAGAAAAGTCGTAAAGTGGGGCAAAACTCACTTAACATCTGTCTTGCTTAGCAACAGAAATTGACACAATCTTCTCCCACTTCAACAGCCGTGAAAAGAGGCAGATTCCATTATGGAAATAATTAAGAAAGGGATTGAAAATAAAACTGTCAGCTTTATAATTTGTAATTTGTGCAAATTTGTGGTACAACCACATCTGGAATATTGACTGCAATTCTTATTTACACGATTCTCATTTAATAAAGAATAAAATAGAGTTGAAAGTGCGCAAGAGAGTAATCAGAATGATTAATGAGTTAAAAGCATGTTTTAAACTCTTTAGCTTTGAAAAAGGCAGTTGAAATAATCAAGATTTATAAAACAAAATTAGGCATGCCACGGACAGTTTTCTCCCTTTTTTTAAACATAAGAATCAAGATCCATTCACTGAAGAGGTTTGGAAGAAGATTTAAAACAGAAAAGGCATTTTTAGCACATTATCTAAGAAGTGAATAGTAGCAAATAATATGGATGGCTTTACAATGAATTTGATAAATTTATTGTAGGCACAACTGTGTCAAGAATTATTGTCTTGGAAATTTAGTGTTTCTTCTAGATCAGGGCTTTTCAGTCAGTGGTACGGGTATCACCTGTGGTTCATTGGCACCTGGCAGGTGGTATGCGAGCATCCTAGAAAAGTTGTGGGGGAGGGGAATGAGCTGAACCTGTGGCAGCACCGCACAAGCCTGAGCGAGAGATGGTTGGAGCTGCAGGGCTGTCAGGGCTCAGCGGAAGCACCAGGATCAGCACCAGGTTCCAGCTGGAGCTCGGCGCTGATCCTGGTGCTTCTGCTGAGCCCAGAAGAAGCGCCGATCAGCTGGAATGTTGCAGCATCTCCAGGGTCTTGTGATTTACATTCAGATGCTTGGTAACTGATTCATATTTATGATGGTCACAGTGTCCCAGGGTCATGTGAAGTGACCAAAACCTGCTGCAACCACCTAGCAGACGGGGGGGAATAAAAACCAAACACCCCCCACCCCACCCCTGCTGCCAATCCTCAACAGAAATGCTCACAACAATAAAAATCTCTGACAAGAGGAAGAGCGCCGGCGGACGGGCAGGCAGGTGTCTTGCTCAGCTGTGGCTTGGGGAGCACTATTTTCAGTGCTATTGTAACTTCAAACAGTCACTAAGCGAACTGTTGTAAGTCGAGGACTACCTGTACTTTATCACTTTTTTCCTTTTTTTTTTTTTTTTTTTTTGGTCATCAAGTTTTTGATACCTTGCTAGGCGACTGGTGGTACTCGGATATTGCCATATCCTAAAAGTGTACAATGGGTGAAAAGATTGAAAAGCCCTGTTCAAGATCAGCAATCCCCAACCTTTCTGGTTTGGTGGATTAGCACGGCAGGGGAAGGAATGGTTCTGTATGAGTGGCAGGCATGCGTGTTCACGCGCAAGCTCCATTTGTGCTAGTGGCAGACGCAAGCAACCACTGCTTCCACAAATGGAGCTTTGAGTGCAAGCACCCAAAGTTTGCACAAGTGGAGCTGTGCACGTGTGCCCACTTGTTCCCCCACTTAAGTGGAGCTGGGCATACGTGCTCCACCACCACTTGTGCAGCCTGGTTCCAAATGGGGCGGGGGTTGGGAATATGTGCTCTAGATGGAGGGCAGTTGTAAGGTAGAGATATTTTCTGTTTATGAGAATCTTGGAAGCATCTGGGCACTTGCAAAATTAGTAAATGTAAGTTTAAAGTGACCCTTGGACTAATTCATCTGGATTGTTCTTTTGCCAAACATTTGTTGAAGAAAAAATAGGGAAGCAATGTTTTGTTTCTGCTTTAAATAAAGTATGCTAGCTATATATTTGTTGAAGTGCTGAATCATTGGATTAATCATTCTAAACAATCGATCGCAAACCGGAATCCTGGCAGATTTAATTTCATCTTAATTAACTTTATAATGTTTACTATTTAAATGGAGGCATTTTTTACTGAAGTTTTTGAACAGACACATGCTGAATTGGAATCTAATAAATATATTTGTATATGTCAGTGATGGCGAACCTTTTAGAGACCGAGTGCCCAAAAACCGCCCCCTGCCCCCACTCCGCCTCCCGTCCTGCCTGTTCTGCCCCTGCCCGCCCCCTACCCCGCCCGCCTGCAGGACCACGCACCGCCTCCATGGCCCGCCACAGCAGATTGCCCAGGCAGCCCTGCAGCACCATGGCAGCCATGCCCTCCGCCCATACCCCGCAGCATTATCTGCACGCTATGTCCCTGCTGCCTGGCTATGTCCTTGGCTGCGCTGCTCCATGCAGGCCGTGCCCAGGGGCGACTCTCCTCCAGGGGGGCTGCTGGTGAGGAGGGGGCCGTGGGGGGAGGCGGGGCTGGGGCGACGGCACGCGTGCCCACAGAGAGGACTCAGAGTGCCGCCTCTGGCATGCGTGCCATAGGTTCGCCACCACTGATATATGTGCACAAATTGTATGTAAGATCTTACAGAACTGGGATTTTGGACACACCTTAAAAAGGTGCAGTGCTTGCCTGTAATTGTTTCAGTATACTGGGTAAAATATATCTTTTAGATATGTCTATGTTCCACTATTATTGTGTGGAATTGCAAGCACTGATCAGGATTTATTTAGCATTCTTATGGGAGGAAATGGTGATGTGAGCAAAGATGTGGAGCTTTGTATCATATTTATTCAGCTGTGTTTTGCACTCTTGGAAGAATGAAACTAAGGGGAGAATATCTCATCATTATAGATGATGATGTATAGATGGTGTTAGGCAAATGATACATTTTTTTTATTTTTTGAGAGATAATTTACTCTATTGAATTTGAATAATTATGTATTTATAAAATTTATTGGCCACCCATTTTCCACAGGATAACTCCGGGTGGCTTACAATCATAAAAGATATATATGCCAAAGTAAATAAATTAATACCAGCAAAAGCTGTGATACAATTATAGATGGGGGGCAGGACTGGAGGCAGGTGGGATCTGTTGTTAGTCGATCAACCGCCTGCACTGGGGCCCCAAGCTAACTGGCAGAGCACGGTCTTTAGGCTCTTATGAAAGGTCAGGTTGGTTGGGTTTATTAACCTGCTGATCTGTTTATTCATTCTCTATGTGGAATAGAATTCAGCCTTACTTTTTTAATCTGATTTTTTTGCTAAATTTCAAATGCTGCTTGGGATTCCCTTATCTCTACACCTCTTGCTTGAAGTAATAGTAGAATTATTTATCAGTTTTATATTTGGATACCTGATGACTGAGTATATATATATATATATGCTTTCAGATTGAGTTCTCCTATCCTCCTCTAATTCCTGGAGAAAGCCATAATAGTAATAGTTTGCCGGAGGAATGGAAATACCTGCCTTTTCTTGCGTTGCCAGATGGTGCTCACAACTATCAAGAAGGTAAGAGTCTGCATAATGCTCCTTTCCTACAAATGCCTAAATAATCTGGAATCTGATACTGGGCAAAGAATTTGATGCTCTCGGCATAGCTGGGCCAAACTAGACTTTTTTTTATATATAGCTAGCTGGCAAGCAAATCTTTAAAAAAAATCATACTGTGTGTTTTCCAGCCACAAAGAAAACCTCCCTTCCTTTTGTTAGAAAAAGAAAGGTGACAATATAAACATTTTAAAATGCCTCTTGCAGGTGGAAGAAGAAAGTTTCTAGAACTATAATTCAAGTAATATGAAGTAAAACAGATTTGGGCTTCAGTACTTTTTTTTTAAAAAAAATACATTTATATATCTGGTGTTTATGGTTTGCAATGGTTCTACAAAGCAGAATGAATGTGCTTTAGGCAAACCATGTACAAGACTTGTATAATATCAACAATTCCTAAATAACACAGACCAAAATCAGTCCATGATTACCAATTATTCTACTATATTCCAATAATTAGTGCATAGAAAAAAGATAAGCTTTCAGAACCAATTCCTTGGTTGCTGAGAGGCAGTTCATCTCCATATGAGGCTGCCACTCACCCTCTTTGCTTAATATATTTTGTTAATATTATGGATAGTAATTAATTGCATAAAGGGGCAGCTTGAAATATAATAAAAAAACTAGTTTAAAATTAGTTTAAGCTGTGAAAATAGCCAATAGCAAAATATGCTGTCTACTAAAAATATGCAGTATTTCAATCTGAAAGAAGCAAAGGTGCTTTGGATCAGGCCTGGGTACTCTCTGTATCTTAACATTCTGCATCTTTCTGTGCATCCTTTCAAGGTTTGCACAGTAATTATGCAGACTCAGCAAAATATGCATTTCCTGAGTTCCCTGGCTATTTTGAAACAGCCTGATTCCTTTAAGAAACTGCTGACAGGGTCAGAGAAGGTATGCCATTGGATTTGGAGCACTTTTGCCCACTTTGTATCAAATAGCATATACCTCTCTAACTGTCTTGAAAAGCTGTGTAAAGCAGATGAACTAGGAGTGTTGCAATTTGCAGAAAGAAAGAAAGCAACTTAGACATTTGGATGTATATGGAAATAGCTGGAAAAGCTTTTTATGCAGGACCACAAGCCTTGAGAAAGACCTAGATACTTTAATGTTTCATGTATCATATATACCTTAAGATTATTTTGTCTCAAATTTGGAATTAGAATCTTGAAAGCAAGTTTTAAAATGTCAGATTTGATAGTATATGTTTAACATATACTATGGTCAAATACTTTGTTATTGGTTATCTAAATTGATACCATAGCTAACCCTACTCTAATTCAATATGGATTTGGTTCGTACATTACTCTAAACAATTAATTGTGGTTTACAAATCACAATAGCTGGATTCACAAATCATGCTAAATGAAAATCTACAGACCATATTAATGCCTTTGTGATATGTGAAGCTAGTGCATAATTATAATTTAGATAGCAACCTATTGGGGAAAAAGTAGAAACTTTCTACTCTTTTCAGCAGGATCATGAATGAGTAGCCTTAAGGGAATCTGAGTGTCAAAAACATTGGAGATGCTGAACTTTTGTATATTGATTCAAGCTAACCAGACAATTCTTTAGAAGCAGTTCACCTGAATGAATAATGCTGCAGATATAGAAACTCTTAACAGGATGAATCCTCTTTCCTGGAATGCTCTTTACCACCATCAAAAAACTCCAAACAAACAAACAAACTACTTCAGTATGATTCAAATCACAACTATTTTAGAATAGCAAAACTGCTTGGGCTGTTCAGAATAGTTATATGCACATTTCTATTATCAAACCAAAAGGTTGCATTTTTCCCTGATTATGTTACATTAATTTGAAATTTGGTCCTTAAGATTATTTGGAAAATTATAGTACTGAAGAAACTTAACGTCTCAATGTGATGCTTATAAGAGATAGCAAAACAATCTCTTCTTTTCCTTTTTAGACACAGTGTTTTTCCATTTGCCACCAAGAAGTGGTGATCGAGGCACAATATATGGGGTCTCTTGTTATAGGCAAATTGAAGCTAAGGTAATTATTCTGAAGTTAGGGGAACATTTGTAGTGAAACTTACAACCACAGTGGAGCCTGGAATTTTAGTCATAAGTCCCTATTGAAGTTCTATATATAGTATGTAACCAGACTCAATTTTATAAGTTTTTACAATTGTTGTAAAATGAGTCACTATGGTGTAAAACAAATCATGAGGCTATTAAGCAAATCCTAGCATTTTCTAATCATTTGCCCAAAAATGGTAAAAAGTCATAAATTGTAGTCACCTGACTGTTGAATACTACAACCGGCTATAAATGCAAGCTAGTTGCTATGTAACTGAGATGTGATCATATAACTGGGGAGGGAGTAGTCATAATTTCAACAATGAGTCATAAGTAGCTTTTTAAAATCTGCTGTAAATTCAACTGGTTGTTAAAGACCAGTTATAAGATGAGGACTGTTTACTGTTTACTATATACATGTTCATTTGATATTGAACATCTGCATGGTTGTTTAAATGCTAAACCAGTATTTTTGAGAATTCAGATTTATCAGCAGTATCTGATCATTTGGGGCTTCCTGCAAACATGTACAAGTAACTAAAAGATTGGCTTGAATTCAGACATTTAATTTGTCTTTTTCTAACAAAGAAGAAATTGAACTTAGCTTAAAAATTTCATTAAAGATTTATAAATGCATAATGCGTAATGTGTGACTTATTATTTATTGTAGCATTAGATGTTCAGTGTCTTTAGTATTAGATGTTCAGTGCTGGAAGTATTTTTTTTCTGCTATCTTATCTTCAAAATCATCAGATTTAAGTACCTGCAAATATATTCCTACTTTGATGTAATTTTTTTAAGAATTGTGATGATAATAATAAATATTAATATAAACCAAACTTTAACAAAGAAAAGAGGATAGCGAGAAATAGTACAAAGTGCAAGGGAAAAAAAGAAAAAAAAGAAAATGAATATCATAAAGAAAGAGTAAAGTGAATTACAATCTTCATTTATTTATTTATTTGTAAAATTTATTGGCCGCCCATCTTACCACAAGTTAATTCATCACATGTGGAAACACATTTAGTAACTATTCATCCTCTCTATAGTTATAAGCATTTATCTCCTCATCCCATATCCCAATTCTTATTAATAAATAAACTTATAAAACATCATCTTTTCAGTCCTGATATCAGCAGAAAGTCCATAAAAGATTGCCACAAGTAACAACATATCTTGTTTTAAACTTGATCAAATAAACTGACTCTATATTCCTTCCTTTTATTTCTCACTGTCTTAATTTTTAGTTCATTGAAATATTTTCTTGAGATTTATTTTCTTCTTTGGTCCCATCTCACAAAATTCTTCAAGACTTTTAACAGGCCTCTTTTGTAAATAAAATAGGAAACAAATTATCAAAATCACTCTCTTGATTTGTCATTTGTATTTCTCTTTTAAATTTTCACTCAATTTCATTTACAGATCCAATGAAACATACTTTTATAAATCTTTCTATTGACCTGGCAGTTGTAAATCCACTTTTGAAACCATTTCTACCTTGTCAGATAAAATTTGTTCTACATCTGAGTTTTCTTCAGTAACATCTTTTGGACATAGTCTGTCTATAGAAGCAGCCATCATTATTGATACTGTGAATATTGTGGCTACTATTTTCTGATTCCATTCTTCAGAAGTCTCCTTCATATTTTTATTGTCATAATGCTTTGCATCATCTTACAGTTGTATATATCTTTACCTAAAATCTTTAGTCCCTCTGGGGTCCAATTTTTCAAAGCACAACATTGCTTATATATGTTATGTCTCATAAAATCAAACCAGGATCTATTTCCCACAAGAAACTGTTTGTATTTTATAATTAATTCCAAAATCTTATTGTAAAAGTTTCAGCATTTCAATTTTATCTGGACCTTTATCCATTGATAGCTTCTAAGATCAATTTTTTATTTAGCTTTTCACTGTTTATTTCAGATTCTTTTAAATTATTAAATTTATAATTAAATTTTTCTTTCATTGAGGATTCACCCAGATTCATAGCAGGATTTTTAAACTTGTCATTCCAAAAGTCACTAATAGCTTAGAAGTAGTTACTGAGCAATTTCCACAAGTGATTAGAAAGTTCAATTTGCAAATTTAGTATTCTTTAAAAGTCTCCATTGCTATTATGAGCAATATGGCTAATCCGGTTTTTGACTCTGCTTTCACATAGCCGTCTTAAGTTCACCTTGATTTCCCTGGAAATCACCCAAATATATTCCTACTTTCTGAAAATTTCTACTTCATTTATTATGTAAGCTATTTGATATCCTTGTCCTATTAGAAATAAATACAATTAGTAATTTATAAAATCATTTTAGTTTCCAACTGTAGTTGCATTTGTCATTTATATTCAAAGGATGGACATGATAAGTTGAATAGTTTTAATTTAGGATCAGAATTCTATAGACTATATAGGAAGTGGTTAAGTATTTTAATTGTTCCAAATTAATAATACCTTCTCAAATAGATTTATTTTATAGAAAATAAAATGAACAAAGAAATGACAAACACAAGAAACCAATGGGTTTGCATAACATTAACGCCAAACAAGTCACATGGTGGCTTCCCTTGATGTGACTTTTTCTAATTTATGCTTTAATGTTTCCCTATTATAGTCTTTCTTTTTCAGTAAAATGGATCTTTCTTTCAGTCAAATTGCTAGTCTGTTGAACTAATTTTTTTCTAAATCATTAAAGTTAGTAAATAAATGTCATATTTTGGTGAAACATTGTTTGCTTTTAAATGTAAATAAGTAAAGAAAAGATTTTAATTTTAGTTTTTCTTCCTTTAAGGCATTGAAAGTACGACAAGCAGACATTACTCGAGAAACAGTACAGAAAAGTGTATGTGTTCTAAGTCAGCTGGTAAGAGATAAGATAACATATAACACTTCATTTTAGATGTTTATATTAGATATGAATAGTTGCATATCTGAATTTGAAATCTGAATCAAAGCCATTCTTTCCAGAGGGTTTGTTTGACAGAGAAAAATACTCTATATAAACAATTAAATAAGGACAACACAACTGGATACACCCATACCACTATACTTTTCAACATTAGCATATTGTGATGTAGGGCAGTGCTTTTCAACCCATGATATGCGTACCACTGGTGGTACTTCAGCACCTGGCAGGTGGTACACATACGATGGGTTGAAAAGCACTATAAAAAAAAGTAAAAGTGTAGCGGGGGGATGAAGTAAAGTGGTGGCAGTGCCGCACAGGCCTGTGGGAGAGTCAACGGGAGCTGCAATGTTGCCGGGACTCTGCTGAGTGCCCAGGATCGGCGTGGGGCTCCAGCTGAATGGGCACGGCTCCAGCTGATTGGCCTTTCTGGGAGCAGAGTGTAGCCTTGAGGAGAGGAGTCAGTTGGAGTTGCACTAAAAAGAAAAGGAGGTGGGGGGAGAGAGGAGAGGATATAAAAGGAAGAGGTTTTGGTGGAAGAGGGAGAGAAAAAAAGACAGGGAACAGAGAAGGGAACAGAGAAAGATAGACGGAGCAGCGTGCAGCCTTGGGGAGGAGTCAGTTGGAACTGAACTGAAGAGAAGAGGAGAGGATATAAAAGGAGGTTTTGGCGGGACAGAGGAAAAAAAGAGACGGGGAAAGAAAGGGACGGAGAAAGAGATGGAGCAGTGCACAGCCTTGGGGAAAGGAATCAGCTGGAGCTGCAACAAAGAGAAAAGAAAGAGGAGGGGGAGAGAGGAGAGGATATAAAAAGAGGAGGTTTTGGTGGAAAAGGGAGAGAAAAAAAGTCAACAGGAAAAGAATGGGACAGAGAAAGAGAGATGGAAAGAGGTGAAGCTTCTTTGAGACAAGCAGAGGGAGAGAAGGGGATAGAAAAGTGCAAAGATTAATGTAGAGAAACAGGCACAAGTTTTCCATTAAAAGTGTGATAAGTGGGTGTACAGATAGTTCTCAAGCTACGATAACAATTGAGCCCAAAATTTATGAGAAATTTGTTAAATGAATTTTGTCCCATTTAATGACTTTTCTTACCACATTTGTTAAGTGAATCACAGCAGTTGTTAAATTAATAACAAGGTTGTTAAGTGAATCTGATTTATCCATTGACTTTGCTTGTCAGAAGGTTGCAGAAGGGGATCATATGACCCTGAAACATTATGACCATCATAAATAAGGATCAGTTGCCAAGCATCCAAATGTAAATCATGTGAACCTGGAGATGCTGCAATGGTCATAAATGTGAAAAATGGTCATAAGTCACTTTTTTCAGTGCTGTTGCAACTTCGAACAGTCACTAAGCAAACTGTTGTAAGTTGAGAACTACCTGTACTTTATCACTTTTTCACTTTTTTTGGTCATCACGTTTTTGACACCTTGCTAGGTGACTGGTGGTACTCGAATATTGCCATATCCTAAAAGTGGTACAATCTGTGAAAAGGTTGAAAAGCACTGAAATAGGGTACAAAAAAATATTGAAACTTACTGTTTCCCCGAAAATAAGACCTACCCCAAAAATAAGATCTACCCTGATTTTGGGGGGTAGGCCTAATATAAGCCATATCCCCAAAATAAGCCCTAGTTAGGACCCCGCCCACTCCATCCCATCTCGCTGCCACAATGGGGCAGGAGAGTGCATGTCGCATTGACACCACCAAGAGGCGAGACAGGTGGAAGAGGGGTGGAGCTGCCCCATACACCCCACACCCATTTGGTTCAGCCCCCCCCCAGCCAGGCAATTTCTTGCTCAACAACCTTTCCTTTCACTCTCCTCCCGAGCTGGACTGCTGTTCTGTCCCAGCCTACATGAGTCCTTATTGTATTCACAAGGAGAAACACCTCTTCCAAGAAACAGGCAGGAACCACAAGAAAAAAACAATCCCTTTTATTCTCACAGACCTGAGTCAATGTCCAAGGCAAACAAACACAGCCCACAGAAACTTGATCCTCAGCACACCTTCCCCTTTTATAATTCAGCCAAGGCGTGGCTTCCTAATGCCTTCTCCTTTGCCTTTGGAGCCGCCTCATTGCATTCCTCTGTCCCACTCTCTTCTCCTGTCTGCGCATTCGTGCATCTGGGATTTGTCCCAGCTGTTCCTCATCACTGTCCAACTCAGGCTCCCAGCACAGCTGTGTCTCAGCCCAAGAGCGATTAGAGGGTCCAGGCTCCTTGTCTGACCGTAAGTCTTGGAGCTCCTCAGAGCTTTCCTCTTACTCTAATGTCATTCCAGGTCCCTCCTCCTCATCTGAGTCCTCAGACTCAGCTGTCAGATTCACTGGCTAGCAAGGAATCACAACACTATCCCGCACCACAGGATCCTTCCCCTGGGTCTGACGGGACGGATGCTGTCGTGAAGGGAACTGTTTGTGGAACACTGTCACCAAGGCAGGAGCATGCATGGTGGTCGCATCCTCCCAGGTGAACTCCTCCGGTCCATAGCCCTTCCATTCAATCAAATACTGAAATCGGCCTTTCAGCCAATGGGAGTCTCGAATACTAGGGACCTCATATTTGGGAGTGCTGTCTCCGTCATGTTGTTCCAGTGGGGGATGTTCTGATCGGCGGGGTGGACACGCCAGTTGTTCTGGGACCAAGAGAGACTGGTGAAAGACCATATGTACCTGTAACAACCGTGGCAAGGTTAACCGATAAGCGACCGGGTTAATGATGGCTTCGATAGAGAATGGTCCTTGGTACCGGTGATCTAGTTTCTTGGCAGGTCGGCTTGACAGCAGGTTCCTGGTTGACAGCCACACCTGATCTCCCACCATTAATGTAGGCATATCTCGCCTCGACCGATCAGCGACATTCTTGTAATCTGCCTTGGCCTTATCTAATTGTTATCATACCAATTGATGGATAGCCTGTAACTTGGTCAGATATTCGTTAGCTGCGGGAACTGGTGACTCAGCCCAAGTGCGATTAGAGGGGCCAGGCTCCTTGTCCGACTTTAATGTCACTCCAGGCCCCTCATCTGAGTCCTCAGACTCAGCTGCCGGATCCACTGGCTGGTGAGGAATCACAACAACTGTCTGGCTAATCCGCCAAAAAAAAAAGATCTTGCGAACTTGGAAGGTCTTAGTGAACTTTTTTTAGTCCCACAAACTTTGTTTCCCTGCAGCAGGAGAGAAATGCGATAGAGCTGGAAAGCAGGTTAGTGAAGAAATGCTTTCAGGAAGAGAGAGGAGCTAGGCGGTGGTGCACCAAACTCTATAGCAGCGCCGGGAGGAAAAGTGGCAGAAAATGGGGCTGCCATTTCCAGAACAGAGAAGGGAGATGCAGGGCGATGTAGGGCAGCAAGCAAGAGCTCTGCTCCGCTCTGCATCGCAGTGCGGAGCCACTCCCCTCCCCATTCTCTCTTCTCTAGAGTGGCGGCGACAGAGGGCTGGTGGAGGGAAGGGGCAGGGGAGGCTTGCGCCGCCCAGTCACGGCAGAGGAGGAAGAGGCAGCTACTGCCAGGCAGGTGATCTATGGAGTGAAGCATGAAGAAAGCCCCTCCAGCAGCGCACAGCCTTTCGCCATCACTCCTCCCGGCTCTGAAACGGCGGAGGGGGATCGGGCCTACCCCGCCATCCTCCGTAACAAGGCAGTCTGGCTTGGAAAGGGAGTGAAAGGGAAGGTCACCGAGCAAGGAATGGCCTGGCTGGGAGGGGGCTGAAGTAAGCAGGTGCATGGGGCAGCTCCACCCCCTCCCCCACTTGCCTTTCCTTGTGGCGGCAGCAACGTGATGTACCATGCGGCCTCCTACCGTGAGCGGCTGCAGAAGAAGTGGGCTGGTAGCCATGTGGGCTCCTGCTGAATGGGGCCATTGGTGCTGCCGCCACGAGGCGAGGCATGTATCACAAAAAATATAAGACATTCCCCGAAAATAAGACCTAATGCCTCTTTTGGAGGCAAAAATAATATCAGACCAGGTCTTATTTTCTGGAAAACACAGTATACTGCTTTAAAGTCTTTTTCCAATTTTAAATTCCACTCATGATACAAATGTGAAACTAAATTTAGAAAATGACATTCAGTTCCTGGTCCCAGTTTTAATTCCTGGCCTTTCTCAACAACTCTGCTCAAAAGATAATGAATAATGGTTGGGTATGAAATTATTTATGTAATATATTTATATTATATATATTTTATACATATAAAATATATTTTACATATTTATGTGTCTGTATGTGTATATGAAGGAATTGTTTATGAAAAGGTTAATCTAAAACAGAGTTTGGAATGGGTCTTTTGTTATTTTTTCTTTCCCTGCTCCCTATTTTATGCTTCCAACAATACTTCTCAGCCTCTTAAGGTAGTTTAGACTGAAAAATAGGGAAAATAGAGATTATGCAGCTAGCATGCAAGCCCAGGAAAAGTCCCCCTTCCCTCCATGATTATATCAACTTCAAATCTGTATTGGTGCATGATTCTATTAAAATAGGGCTTAGATTAAAAGGCAAGCAAAACAATTCAGTGACCTTCATAATTAATTTAGATCTAAATACTTGTTTCCCTAATATTCTCTCCTAGTTTATTAATCTTTTACAACGCCCGTCTTTAATGAAATAGAATGAGATACTTTGCCCATATTTTACTGTATTACTGTCTAATGTTTTGAATAAAAGCACATTCATAAAAAACACAGATCTATGCACATTTGGAACCAGTGTTGCTTTGAAAGCCAGATGTTACTATATAGAATAATTGACCATTCCAATTCATATTCATAAATCAGCTGCAACTACATATGATATATGGCTTGAAGAATATGCAAAGTATTCAGATTATTCAAATTTATCTGCTTTTAAAGAATAGATCCAGTTATTATTACCTCCTTGTTTGTCTTTGTTGATATAACATGATGCTCTTTTTCTTGCAAGCCTCTATATGGGCTACTTCAAGCTAAGTTGCAGCTAATTACACATGCCTACTTTGAAGAGAAAGACTTCTCACAAATTTCAATTCTTAAGGTATGTTTAAATACACAAAAGTAAAATTGTTTGAAAGATTCCAAATGGTTGGGTGAGAGAGAGAGAGTTCAGTAAGATTAAAAGTGGAATGGAGGAGCCATTGCTGATCGAAGAGTAAATCCACTTATCAATGTCCATGATCAGAATAGAATGGAAGGATCACTTTAGTGATATTTTTTGCAATACAGGTTGTCTTCATCTTATGACCTACTTGTTCAATGACAAGTAACACTGATGAGTGCTAGTTAATGCCTGGTTCCCAAAGTTATGGTCATTGCAGTGCCTCAAAATGTGGGTGCTTAGCAGCCCATCTGCGCTTATGGCCACAGGCACACTTCAACTCCTACCTGCCTATCTCTCCCTCGTCTTTGCCCTTTAGGCTACCTGCACTTCGCTACCTCTGCTGGTCCTGCCGCCCTGTGCTCTGCTGGCCCTGATTTTTGTCAGATGTGCTTTGGAAAGTTGGTAGCCTTTGTCCAAATTGCATGTGGCCCTTGTCTAATTTGAAAGGCAAGAAGGTCACAGCTTTAAGAAGAAGGCCTAGTGCAGTGATGGCGAACCTTTTAGAGACCAAGTGCCCAAGCTGCAACCCAAAACCCACTTATGTATCGTCGGATGCCGGGTGGGCATGGCCCATTGGGTGGGCGTGGCTGCAGTGGTAACGGCAGACTGGGTGGGACTAAAAAGTTCAATCAATCAATTCCAACTTTGCGAGATTTTTTTTCCCACGAGAAGTTGAAATTGATTGATTGAACCTTTTTTTTTTTGCACATGGCGGCGTAAGCCTAAAGCAAAAAGGTTTTATAAAACCCAGCTGAAGGGCTAGGACTGTGGCGATGGCGCATATGCCCACAGAGAGGGCTCTGTGTGCCACCTGTGGCATACGTGCCATAGGTTTGCCACCACGGGCCTGGTGCAACAGCAGATGCCTTGCAAAGGGCCAAGCTGGGCATGCCTCAGCAGCAGCAGCAGCAGAAGGAAGAAGATGCAAATGTCAGCTGGGAGTGGCAGGGCTCACATAGCCCTGAAACGTTCAGGCCTGCTGAATGTTAATTTCCTATTACCTTTATTTACAAAAGAGAAACTCTAGACCCAATATGGTGTCCATTGTTAATAAGCTAGAAGGAGGTTTCTAGTAAGAATCTGACAACCAGTTCTGCATGCTTTTGATAGAGAGATTGCTTTCTGAAAAAATACTCCCTCTAAAAACTGCTGGAAACTATTACTTAGTGATATTTTTGAAAGCCATATGAACAAAATATTTGCAGAATAGCATACTGTATGCAATATCTTTGCAAAATTCCATTAAAGCTTCATCTTAAGCAGTTCTGGACCCCAGGATTCTAAAGGATTGATAACTATATCTTTAGAGACTCAAAAAAAGTAAGATCTCTTGGAAAAGTATTTGGAAGATTTTTCTTATATAAAGTAGACCTTTTCCTTTTGTCCATAAAGTTACTTTTATTAAAGGATGCTCATGTTTTCAACATTTTATGGTTTTTCAGGAACTTTATGAACACATGAATAGCTCACTGGGAGGGAGTTCACTGGAAGGGTCACAAGTTTATCTTGGTAAGCTATATTTGGTAACATAAGACTTCCAATTTTTATAAGTATTTTGTTACATATAGAGCTTAATACCAAACTTGTAAGTCTGAAAAAAATATCAGTTATTTTGGTTATCTTTCCCATTTGTGAAGCTATTGTGTAATTATATTATCATATAAAGTATAAGGCTTTATGTTCATGCAGGGTGTTTTTTGCATTTCAATTTCTTTCTGAGGATTTCTTACAAAATAGTTTTCAGAAACCACAACCAAAGTATTAAACGTGTTATTGAAACAGGTCGTTCAATCTTCCTTCCTTTTTTCTCTTGAAAGACTTGATATGAAAATTGAAAATCCAAGTCACTTTTGAAGACAAATAAAATATCTTGACTTTTTTCACTATAATTGTTTATCCTATTCTTCCTGCTTTAATTCATACTGCCAGCAAGCTTCTGTAATGTATAATGAATCCAAATCAATTTACAGTGTATGACAACAAGTTATTGCACCAGGTTTACCCAAAGGAAAATACAAATGGTCAACAAAGTCACCTGTTCGCCAAAATATTCATTATATTAAGTAAATAATAATATAATGGTCAGTGATGAGAAATACCGCGTTTCCCCGAAAATTAGACCCAGTCTTATTTTTTTTTGCCTCCAAAAGAGGCACCAGGTCTTATTTTCGGGGGGTGTCTTTTCCATGGACTCACCTCATGGTGGCGGGACTGACAGCCTTGGTCAGCCGGCCCACTTCTTCCGCGGTCAAAGGAAATGCCTCTGTAGCTTAGAATGGAGCTCTGGATTGACGTGCATGGCGCCCCTCCCTCCAGCCTGCATTTTGCCATCAGAGGCCTTCCAGAAAGGCCTCTGATGGCAAAATGCAGGCTAGGGGGCACCGCAAAAGAAGTGGGCCAATGAGGCAAGGCAAGTATCAATTCATGGGAGGCCTGGCTGCAACGGTAAGCAGATGCAAGGCGCATGGGGCAGCTCCACCCCCTCCGTCCCCACCCTAGCTTGATTTTTAGGTGTGCACCTCACTCCAAAACTAGGGCTGAAACCTGCCCCATGTTTCAAAGCAATACTAATCAAAGAAAACATAAAATGCAATTTGCTAATAATAAAACCACTTTTTTTTCTTATTAGTGGTAGGAATCCAGTACTTAAGGATGCTTCTCATGGTAGAATGAATAATGAGGCAGACCTTCACTCTAGCTGCTTATTTATGAAGGCTCTTTACATTCATCCATCTGACTGCAGAGTTAGAAATCTTAGGCTGTGAAAGCTTAATGTTTTATATAAAGAGATATTATCCAAATAACTGTTCACAGTAATGCATTTCTACCACCCCAGAAAATGAATTCATATGTACAATAAATGCTCTTACTTAGAAGATTTCCAAGTATTGGAAATTGAAATGAAATTTTATTGAAATGTGCCATTTTCCTCTCTGTTGTTTTTAGGCCTGTCCCCACGAGATCTTGTTCTTCAATTTAGACACAAGGTATGTTATAAAATTGAAATGTGCATAATTATTTCCACTTCTTTGAATCTTAAAGAAAACCACATGTAGTTACAGATATAAGTAAATAAATGTTTTCTGGATCTATATTGCACATTGACATGATACTGAATATTTTAAGCATAGGGTCACTTATTGCTGGATTACTAATGTTTTAAGATCTGTCTTTCTTTATGTTTTAAAGGTTTTAATTATTTTTAAGTTGATTCTTCTAGAAAAAAAGGTAAGATTATTCCCATATTTCCTAAAAGGCAAAATAAATGACTTGACTAACATTATTTCATTAATACCTTATGGAGATGCATTATTCCATTATGCAGTTAGCCAGGATAGAGGGGTGCTTATTTCATTTATTTGTTATAGACATTAATATTTCCATCAATGTTATTTGCTATCTTACCATAAGTTATAGTTTGCTGGCGAAATTAACTCTCTTGCTTCCTCTCTCTAAACAGACACATAGACATCCACTAGTGATAGCCAACGTGATTTATGTTACTTATTTATTAATCAGATTTTTAGACTACCCATCTCTTTGGACTCTGAGTGTCATAGCACATTTAAAAAAATACAATGAAAAATAAAACTTCATAGAATTCCCTGGAAAGAACAACAACCAAACTTTCTCCTCCACTTACAGAAGCAAAAAGATACCAATCCCAAAAACAGGGGAGGAGCCATGTTTATAGTGGTATTTTAAATGTTGGTACAGAAGAGGTCTTTCATATGTTTAGCCTACAACATATATCCTCTGTTGGCCCTGATTGTTGATAAAGAGAATATAATCGATAACAGGCCTTATCTTACATAGTTAAAAATCTACCGAAGCCTGTGGTCTGAAAATGTAAAGTATATTCATTGCAGAGGGTAGAAGAAATAAAACTCTATAGTTGAATCTAAAAGGGAAAAGTGTATTCATAATAAAAAAGTTGTAATAATCAAAGTAACAGCTTCTCTTCCAGAACAACAATTGGTATCTGCTCCAACGATTGGTATCTAAAGCTCTCTACTAGGTTTTTATGTAAATCGCTGCATAATGGTCCATAATGCTACATCATAATGCAGCTTAGGGAAGACAATGCATTGAACAGAATAGGGGTCCCCAATCCCCAGGCCACCGCCCACTATTGGGCCGTGGCCTATTTCAAACCAGGCCGCACGAGTGATAGGCAAGCGTGCGCATGTAAAGCTGCACTCACACAAATGGCAGGCAAATGCATGTGCATGAAGCTCCACTTGCAAGAGCAGTGGGCCCTCAAAGCTCCACTCGTGCGAGCGGACGGCACTTGTGGAACTTTGTACACGACCACTCTCCACTCACACAAGTGGAGCTTCGTACACAAGCACAAGCACTTGTGTGAGTGGGCTTTGCGCACAAGCAAAGGCCCTTCATTTACCCGTGAAGCTCCATTTGTGCGTGTGGAGGGTGTGCACACCTGCCATTTGCACTAAGGGAACTGTGCACGAGTGCACCTGCCACTCATATGCCCTGGGCCATGCTGCCAAAGTGGAAAGGTGGGGACTATTGAGTTAGAACATTTGTGCAAATTATGACACAAGAAGCTCATTATGTTTTTAAAAGCTACATTATATCTTCTGTCCGTAGCTTCAGTCTTCAGTGGGACAGGATGGAAATGGAATAAATATTATCATGTCACAAACAAGGACCTAACATTTTACACAATCTTTTATCAAACAGTCACATTGCTTTAAGGTGTGCAAGGTCTGGATTCATAAATTTTCAAGAAGTAATAACACAGATTGCAGCATATTTTGTTTGTTGTTGTTATTGTATAGGTTGCACATTAAAACATCTGTATTAAAAATGGCTGAAATATAAGTAAATAGATATTACTGATCATTATCAATCATCATCATCAACCAATCAATCTTTATTATGGTCACAGATCAGCAAAAAAAAAGCATTAAAATGATAATAGTAAAAAATAAAAATAAAAGACAGAATAATACATTGCGATTGGTGGTGGATTAACAGTAGGCAGTTAAAGTTTGCCTGATTTTATATACAGCATAGCAGAATTTGGCCACATTCAGAAAAACTACTTCATACCGATCTGATAACAGTAGTTCCACATAAAAAAGATCAGTATTTCCCAGTTATTTTGGGTAAGATGTTATAAATTGAGTCCATGAATCCTTATAGAAAAAGCAGTATAGCAGGGCATGAACTCTAGTTCAATGGCCTCTTGTCCACAGGAGGACAGTCTCGCCTCATAGGGTATTTTTTTATATTGGCCCTCCTAACCTGTTGTGGGAAGTGCGTTGCAGCGTGCTAAGCTTAATGCCCTTTGGATGTTTGGGACAGTTATTTGATATAAATATCTTGCTGCTTTAAGGGGGGAGGTTTGATTGCTCCAGTTATACTCTGATTTCTTTTTAGATCGTATACTACTGATCTATTTTTCCCCCTGCTTCTTTTCAGGTTCTGTTTTATATCTCTCCAGTTAATCGGCTGGTGGGAGCATTAATGACTGTCTTATCACTATTTCCTGGTTAGTGTGTATATGTATGTTCCTATCAAAATGCTACTTAAAATCATAGCCATTCTTAATTTAACTTGTTTACTTGAAATCCATTCTGAATTTTAAATGGCCTCTCCCCCAACAAAGAATAGACAGGAAAGATAAATGTAGACAAAAATCATGTGTAATGTCCAGCTTCCCAATCTTGTCAGTTTAAATTGTCAACAACATAAAACTCAGTCCTAAAGACTGTCTCTGGCATATGATACCTCTTTGTGAATTTATATGTGCATAAACCTTTAAGAAAACATAGCCCCCAAAGTCTTAGTACTACTTCAAAAAAATATTAATACTAATTCAGCTAATAACTGTTGATAAAAATTATTGCCTGTAAAACAAGGTATTCTATTGTATTTAATTGATCTACAATAATTATACAACCAGCTATTCTCACACGAGTCATTGTCATACCCAAAACATACAAGTACTTTCACCAATATTCCCTTCCTTTATTCTGATAGAATCAGCCCCAAAAGGTACAGCAAATATGAAAGTTTTGCATGAGGAAGAGAAGAAAAGGGCAGCTAAGCTAGTTGGAAATGATTCAAGGAGAAAATACAATTGCACAGGGGGGGAAAAGTGACAAAAATGTATTTCAGAATTACAGAAAGGGCTAAAAATTCAGAAAACAAATAACCCACCCAACCCATTGACTAATTTTCAGGTTAGTTTTCAAAAGCATTTTTGTAGTGATATATACAGCCATTTGTACTTTCTCCCATTTATTTGAATATTTTAGTGAGTATAATACAACATTCCTTCCCAAAGGAAAAATCTTTGCCTTTCTTTTGGGTAGGGATGATACTCGGAAATATTTGTGACCACCAGAAGGCTTGTAATAGAATCTTTTTTGCTAACCTTGTAACAATAAAAACTTCAGTCATGGGTTTTAGTGCTAGAATCATTATTAGGAGCCAAAGGAAATACTTGAGAATTCTACATAAGTGGAAAATTTGAGGAATTTTGCTGTCAGCCCTTCAAGGCAGGCTGGGTCATGGTATGGATAACACAAGGATTTCTGGAACTCTACCATACTTAAACTTGAAAGTTACTATATGGCATCTAACTTGAAAGTTACTATATGTCCTCTTCTAAGCCAATCAGAATAAAGACAGGATTGTTGTTTGCTTTCTTATAACAATTCTTATGTCCCTTCATTAAAATCATCTCCAAACTCCCCTACATCTACTGTTACACCAATAGTTATTTTCTTCATTGAAAAATAACTTTCTGAAAGACTAGAAAGAATCATGGGTGTGTTGTATTTGGCAATTAACTGTAGTTTTCATCTTAGCATAGTTTCCAATATAAATTGGTGATTGCTCCTATATAGAATCTATTAACCTCATTTATAATTTTTTAAATAAATTCCAGGTATGATAGAACATGGTCTTACTGATTGCTCACAGTACCGACCAAGAAAAAGCACATCAGAGGAAGTTGGACAAGAAGTTTCTCCTCCTTCCAGTTACTGTGTTTCTTTGTCTGCTCTGACGCTTTCAAATGCTAATTTTGACACAGTTGGGGAAGGCAAAAAATTATCAAGAAACCAAGAAAGAGATACTCAGAGAGCAAATGTACCTTTATTTCAAGTTGAGCATCAACCCTGTGAATTTCATGTCTCCCAGGATCATGGACAGTACTTGAAACCTTCTTCACACACTTCTCCAGAATCTTCTGAAAGTGACTGGGAAACCTTAGATCCCAATCTCCTAGAAGACCCTAACTTGAAAGAAGGAGAATGTGAAATTACTTCAGTAGCAGGAGAGACTGAATTTCTTCTGCAGGAATCAGTGATTTCCAAAAGTGTTCCAATTACTATTCAGCCTCAGCCTAATACAGGACACACAGTCCTTGCACCTGGACTTATTTCTGGTTTGGAAGAAGATCAGTATGGTATGCCATTAGCTGTCTTCACCAAGGTAATTTTTGTAGTATAAAGGGGGGGCAAACATTTGGTTACCAAATGCTGTTTTAACATTTTTCAGGAATAAAGAGATGCATAGAGGGTAGGCCAATTTATGTGTAAGCAGGAATGGTTTAGAAGTTCCTAACTTACTATTTTCAGGCATATATGTATTTTCAAATGTATTTCACTTCAGAATGACAGGAAATTATATTAATACTTTTGAGTAATTATAGACAAGGGATCACCGGAAGGAAGTTTGAAGATTAAAAGATGCTGAAGTTGCCTTCATCTGCTGTAGTAACTAATGAGCAATTCTCTGTAATTTTAGGAGCTCTGTCATTCCATTAGTTTCATTTTTGAAGAATGCCAGGGATATAGATCATAAAATGTTTTGAATAACTTAGGGTATCACAATTGTAGAAAAGTGAAGGTATCAAATCAGACCTGCATACTTTATATTAATGTATTGATGGAGTGAATAAACATATTAAAAAAGAAATGGAAATATATCCTAACAAAGCCAGTAATGTCCAGCTTCTGGAAATCCTTTAAATAAATTGACCTTAGAACAGGGGTTCCTAAAATGTTTGCCATCACACCTCTCTTTAATGTATCCTTAATGTAAACACCTCTCCTAAAAATCCAAACACCAAATGAAAACAAATAAACAATGAAAACAATATTATACCAGTATACGACTATAATAAAGATTTGATAAAAACAAAAGAAACTTCAGGAAATATGGATTTATTGTTAACAGTGTAACTAAAGATAAACTAGGTTATCATGCTGTCAGTATAACCACCTGTCAATTAGATCGCTATCCCTTCT